CACAAGCACACATACACAGACATCTCACTCACTCTCACACACACACACACATGGAATGAGAGAGAGAACTTGGGGATGTTGACTAGCGCACGCACACACACACACACACACACACACACACACACACACACATATACTCACACACAAGCACACATACACAGAGGCATCTCACACACACACACAAACACACACCCGAACCCACATGCACACACACACACATCTCAAGCACACAGACTCACACACAACACACATACACACACACAACACACATACACACATACACACACACAGAGACAGACACACACACAGACAGACACACACAAACACAAACACACACACAAGCACACGCACACAGACACAAACACACACACACCCAATTATCATTGTCAGCCCAGTGAGGGAACAAAAGAAAGAGATCACGCCCCTACCACTTCGGCTACCGTCTTCACCTATACACAAGGCCCGGTCATTACAGCTGTACGTGGAGCAACTAGACACAGCCATAAGGGCCGGGTGTTCTATTCGGGTGAAGGCGGGAGCTCCACCTTCTTTTGCGCAAGTTCCATAACGTTCTCCTCCTCCTGTTTTTAGAAAACACGGCCCCCCTCCCCCAATAATCATTGTCAGACACACAAAGGGTCTCCCTCCACTACTCAACATTCTACATGTATTTGGACTGTTTCTTGGCCCAGACTGATCCAACATTTTGAATGTATCAGGACAACCACCAGCTCCACATATGTTTAGAACGTTGTGAAGTGTAGCAAGGGCCAAAAACAGTCATCATCCCGTTCACACCAAACCCATTCAAGTTAATGCGTTAAAAAAAAAAAAAAACTTGGCATGCTAATTCTTCCTTAATAAAAGGAAAAAACACCTGCCTTGTTTTGCAATATTCCATTACCATACATTTGCCATGAGGGCAAATTTCCAACATAGTATGGGCCCGGGAAGCCCCGGCGTAAAAAAAAAAAAAAAAAAAAAAAAAACAGAAAACTTGAGAAAACCAAAAAAAATTGGAAAAAAAAAAAAAAATGTTGTGTAGATTTGCAATACAAACAACTTCTGGCTGAGGGTCACATCAGAATTCCTCACAGAACTGAAGATAAAAAAGAAAATAACCAAATCACGCTAAGGCACCCCCCTTTAAACCCCTTTAGCCCCTTTAAAATTCATTCATACTGCCCTGGCCCCCCCTCTTGACAGCCAACACTCAGAAAAAGAAAAGAGCCTGGATTTGGGCTCCTCTCGGAGAGCACGGAAAAACCCCACCGCCATTTTTTATTATTATTATTATTTTTTTTTTCCCCCATGCCCGGGTATCCTGGGCATCAACCCCCCCTGGGCGTCACGCCCGGGTGACCGGCTGGTCCAGACCGGCCGGTCATGAAAATGTTCCTAGCGACATACCCCTATTTTTTATTTTTTGTGTGTGTGAAATACCCCTCGTTTATCAGGATGGGGATTCTTGCATGAGTCTACTAACTTTTGGGGAAATTTGTGAAATACCCCTGGACGTTGGGGTACATGCGAAAATACCCCTCAATGATGTCGTAGAGCGGAATACCGTTCGGTCATTTGACAAGTTTGCAAAATACGCCACACATAGATTTGACCGTGTCATCGTTACATTGTACCCCTACGTAACCTTCCGGGTAGCTGCCAAGTTTTCAAACTGTCCCAGTACCAGCAGACTTCATAAAGGCTCGATTTAAAAGAAAAAAAAAGAAGGAAAAAAAAAAAAAGGGGACGCCCTTGAGATATCATCATCGAACTGACCGGCCCTAGGTCATTCGGAATTGTAGTATTTTTTACTCGTCTGCTTCCAGTGGATTTTGAATGAGGGAACAAAAGAAAGAGATCACGCCCCTACTACTGAGGGAACACAAAGGTCTGTATTTAAAACAGTTCGGGGGTGTATCGACTGAGCTAGCTAGGCCTGTTGGGCCAATTCATTTTTGATTTACCCTTACCGGCCTTTGTCCATCTTTTGGCTTTGCCCCTATAACCGTGAAGCCCTACAACAGCCTTTTCCCGGGCCGATCCAGCACTGGTGCGCCGCACGGATTTTCCCTTAATTTTTTTGTTGGGATTACTGGTGCCCAATGCTCTTTGGCCATGTGGCCATAGGGTATCCGCAAGCATGGAGATTTTTCTTGGCATTATTTAAATTTTAATCTTGATTCTTGTTGATCGGCATGTGCTTGGCCAGGTTCGACGTACAAAGTTGAAAAGGCGCAAACTCAGTTCCCAAAGGGAAAAAGAAAAAGAAAAAGAAAGGAAAGGGCAGAGCACATACTGTGCATCGATAAGCCCCATCCATCCATAGCCCCCTCTCCCCACCAACGGACAACACTGAAAACCAAAGAAAGCCCGGATTTGGGCTGCTTTAAGCCCCCTTTAAGCCCCATCCATCCATACCCCCCTTTCCCCACCAACGGACAACACTGAAAACCAAAAAAGAGCCCGGATTTGGGCTGCTGCTTTTGGTGGGTGCAGAAAAGCCCCACCGGCACAAAAACAAAACAAAACAAAACAAAAAGCACAGTTCCCTACGGCGAAAGAAAGGGCAAAGATTGAAGGGGGGAAAAAAAAAAAAAGGCAGAGCACACACCGTGCATCGTTCGCCATTTGCAATGAGCTGCCTCGCCTATGATGTGTTTCCTGTTGTGACGGAGCGCCCTGCTCCGGGGCAACAGCACCAGGACCCCCCCCGCTCCCTCCATAACTCCCGGACGAAACACCCAGACCGAAGCTGCCGACATTCGACGCGATGACAGTGCTGTTAATGCCTTCAACAATCATTCCAGCTGTGCCCGCTCCAAAGCTGCCGGGAGCAACGCCAATCCCGCCACTGCTAACAGGAAACCCTGAGGCTCCTCCTTGACCTGCTCCAAGTGCAGCTTCTACAGGAGTGGGGACGCTGAAGCTTCCACGGCTCCCGAGAAGCCCTCCTGCGGCTAACATTTCCGCTTCATCTCTCTCCGAGTTTCTTCCAATCGGACTGATGTCTGCACCGTTAAACTCGTTATTACTCCTGACTTCATAGACCGTCGATGCAACCACTGCCATCAAAATTCAGCCCGGGCACCCACTCCATCATCTCATCAGCAAGTGAAGCAAAGCAAATACACAAAAACCTGACCCACCCACACCCACACACACACACACACACACACACACACACACACACACAGAGGGGGGGGGCGCAGGGTGGAGAGAGAAAGAGGCGCGTGTGTGCGTGTGTGTGTGAGAGAGAGAGATGCAAGTGTTGGTCTTCTGACAACAAGCAACCAGGTTCATAACAAAGAGGTGTGTGTGTGTGTGTGTGTGAGAGAGAGAGAGAGTGTGTGTGTGTGTGTGTGTGTGTGTGAGAGAGAGAGAGAGTGTGTGTGTGTGTGTGTNGAGAGAGAGAGAGAGAGAGAGAGAGAGAGAGAGAGAGAGAGAGAGCATTCTTAAATGAAGCAAACACATAAAACTCGGACCTACTGCGCAGCCATTTTCTTCCACTTCTTCTTCTTCCTGTTTTTTTTTTTTTTTTTTTTTTTTTTTTCGCTTCTTTGTTTTCCCTCTGTTGTGTGTGGACCATTTGACTCACTGCCAGTTATTGACAATTTAATCTTTTTTAGGTTTATTTATTTTTTAATATAATCTTGGTTAAGTTTCGTATGGATAAATACATGAACTCAGGGCAGCGGCCTAGCTCAGTTGGTAAGGCACGCAAGTGGCATTCAGGAGGTCTTGGGTTCAATCCCCATTGGCCTCATGCACCTTCCTGGGCAAGCTTGGCGCCCGCCACCTAGAGATATGCCGCTGGTCCCCCGGAGTGGCATTGAGCAGAGACTGCTGATGTTCATAGGGGGATGGGACCGGAGGGGAGGCACAGTGACTGGCCCATCAAAGAAGCTCGGTCCTGATGCTACCGGCTGACCCCTGGCTGGTATCGCCCACCTGCTGTAGCAGGTATCGCACCTGCTGGTGCGTGCAGCTCCCGCATGTTCCCTCGTTGGAGGCTTGAGCACGGATGTGGCTGCTACGGGGTTCCCTGTAATACTATAAAAGGCCTCAAAGGCCGTCCCGTCCAGATTTGACAGGTAATTGAATTGGTTGGGCTTAAAGAATTAGCCTTTCAAAAAAAAATAAAAAAAAACATGAACTCAAAAAAAATTACCATTTCAAAATTAGCTAAAAACTTAAAAACACCTCCCCAACTAGGTCCCCTGCGTGTTCACTCACTTCAAGAGAAGTTCAAGTTGTACGCAATTTATGTTAAGTAATGAAGTTTACTAAACCTAATTTTCAAATTTAATTTATTTAGTTATTGTCAAATTATCAAGTGTAAGATGGTTGTGTTGGGGATAGAAAGCTCGATTTATTCAATAAAAAAAAGGGGACCAGCCGGGCCGCCCGGGTCAATTTAAAATATTACTAGGCTACCAGCCGGGCCGCCCGGGTCCCGGGTGGCCAGCCCGTGCAAGGACCAGGGAAGGTCTCAGCAAAAAAAAAAAAAAAAAAAAACAATTCCAAAAAATCCGAAAAAAAACTATGTTATGCAGAAAAATAAACTGAACAACTTTTGCCTCAGGGTCACATCGAAATTCCTCACAAAATTTAGAATAAAAAATAAACTCTAAAAATAATTCTTTTATTTTTATTACTTTTATTTTTTTGGCCCGGCCGGGCAAGTGACCCCGGGCCACTCTGGTAGCCTAGAAAAAAAAATAAAAAATTAAAAAATAAAACACAAGTGGATGTCCGGACAGCTTCTATCACTGCAAAGGTCGTTACCATTATGAAACCTCTGGCAGCCCGACATCTTTTTTTTTTTTAGTTTTCTTTCTTTTTTTTAAGAGTTCAAATTAACATGTTCTTCGAACGCTGACGCGGTCTTCTTCAACAACCCGCAAAGTATCTGCTGAACGACTTAAGTCAAGTTAAAAATTGAGGTAATTATGGCACAGTGACAGTCACAATTTCAAGCTTTAAAATTTAACTTTCGAATGCACTTGAGTCATTCCCCCGAACATAACACCCACCCAGGTGACCCTACCGGACCTGAATCCTTTTTTTTTTTTTTTTTTTTTCCTTTTTTGTTTACCGGACCCGAATCCTGGCTTGTATAGATACAACATTTTCGGGCCTTTTGCCAAGACTGCATTTTTAAAAGTTGAAACTTGAAACCCGGACTGCGCCGTAGTTATTATTATTTCTTAATTTTTAAGACGAGCTAGCATGAATCTCATATCTGTTTAGCTGTGAAAGCAAGAATTGTATCATGGATTATGTCCCGGTGCAGATCCAAGGGCAAAAAATAGTAAAATGCTTAAAAAAAGAAGAAAAACTCCAAAAAAAATAGAAGTGAAAAAAAAACAAAAAAAAGACGGTCCTTCGGGACATATCCGTTAAAATTGGAACGATACAGAGAAGATAAGCATGACCCCTGGGGCGTGGTCCCATTAGCAAAGAGGATCGGATCGAATGCCTGGATCTGGACGAGTTCATGGAGATGTGCAGGATATCGAGATTGAACTGCTTTTCTGCATCTGTGCTTAAAACACATCCAGATTCAGGAGCTCGATCCTATCTTTTTTGCGAGTGGGACCTTGGCCTTGGACAAGGATGACACGCAGAAATCGAGAAATGGTCCAATTTTTTTTACCTGGTTGATCCTGCGAGTAGTCACCAAAAAAAAAAGAGAGAGAATTTATTAAAGAGGTGAATCCAAGCTTAAGCTTGACAAATTGGACAGCTGTTTTTACCAACAAGGAAAAAAAAAGAAAAAAAAAAAAAAAAGGAAGGAAACAGGAAATAAGGTTGCCCGCAATGACCGAGGAAAACAAAGGTTATAGTGGGCCCTGCTCCACCAATCAACATTTGGCATTTGGTATGTATCTAGAGTGTTCCATGGCCGGATACATTCCAACTTACTGCACATTCTGAATGTATCGGGACCATTATCGGGACAGATACATTCCAAACGTCGTGTAGTGGAGCAAGGCCCAATGTCCATGAGAAGCAGTGGCAAGCATGCTTCCAAGAGTTTTTCAAAGTTCAAACGATCCACACTGGAGTGCGCGCACATGCAAAACAAAACAAAAACAAAAAAAAAAAAGGGAAAAAAAAAAAAGGGAAAAAAAAAAAGGGAAAAAAAAAAAAAAAAAAAAAAAAAA